AGGGCAACAGAAAGAAGGGCCTCATACGGTGAAAATAAAAGGAAGCGGAAGATTAGGGATGTCGATGGCATCCTTGGGGAGGAAAAATCTAATTCGAGGAAGGTAGAGTTAGCGATAACTTTGCCTACTGCATAAACAAACTCGGAGAAAACAAGAATGGAGCAAGACCAGCAAAACGGAGACGCCTGGATCAGGGATCTATCGCTAAGCGGAGGCAAAGAGATCGCGATGAGGAAAGGGGGGGCGCGGGGAGTTTCGGCAATCAAGCGAAGACGTTGTCAGTGCGTAACATTCATTTCAAATAAACCAGTACAACTTTGGGGGCCTGGCAATCAAGAAGCTAGGCAGATGGATAAGCACAATCATCAAAGAAATTCGGCATTATGTCCAAAAATGTACTATAAATCCACTCGAGATGCCGCATGCGACAAGAGATAGGCGTCTACTGTTTGCTCAGGTTACACGGGTTTAGTCAAGGAGACGACCCGTGAATTCAATGACTGAAATCTGCAAACATGTGAATCAGAGCCTAAGCGCTTTGCTCGGTGAGGCAGCAGTGTACATGTTTCTAGGGCCTTGAGAAATAGCGCCTGGAGTAAAACGTATACTGAGACTCGAACCAAGTGAAATCGGTCAAACAAAAAGATAAGGAACGAATCTACGAGACCATGAGGAAGATCCGGATAAGAGGCCTGAGTCGGATTAGCCGATCGAAGGAGAGGGAATTGGGGTGAATAGCAGGTGTGATGAGGCACAATAGATTTGCCATGAAAGGATAAACGTTTTGACGAATTGAATGCAAATAAATCAGAATTGGTGATAGGGCGGGATTGAATAAGAGGGTAACTAGTTGATAGATGGGCTAGGACAGTAAGAGGAGTAATAGTGTAACCGTTTTCGGCATAACGTTAGTCGAGGGATTGACTTCAATTGTCTTTTTGACGAGCTCGTAGCTTAGAGCGAAGAATAGCAACATTCATTGGTGATGCCAGAGAAACGTCTGAGAATGTACCAAGCCAAAGGTTTAATGCTGGGAATTATGCTAATTATTATGGCAGAAGACTTCGGACAAGGTTCTTTTCACTAAGTCCCCCTGACAACAAGACCAAGTTGCGAAAAAAAATAAACCCACTTATTTGTCTAGATCAGCCTAGATGTAGCTAATCACATTGTTTATACTTCACATCCGAGAAGGGAAATTCACATTATGAGATGAATGGAGATTCTAAGGCTAAATTCAATGCAGATAGTAGGCTCCATTGTGAGTGAATGTAGGCAGTCTGAACGAAGATATTGAAATGCTGGAACAAGAGTACTAAGTAAATTAATTTAAGAACTTAACAAGAAAATGCAACAAGAGGAAAATATCGGTAGACACAATTTTAATAATGCTGAAAGATCAAGGATACAATGTAAAGGTTAGAGAGTAAAAACAGCCAGGATTCTATTAATGCTGCAATATTTTATAGTGAATCACTACTACCACTATCACTACTATAACTACTAATACTACTAATATTACTAATAATAATTATTAGTAGTAGTATATTAGTATCATCATCATCATCATCATCATCAGTAGTAGTGATAGTAGTGATAATATTATAATTTGTGACCAACTTTATTCTTTTTCTGAAAATATAAGCCGTTTCTAAATGTGGCTGCCGCGTACAAAATGACAAACCCAACGAAAAGCTATGCCTTATACAGCAAATGTACCTTAAGGCCGGGTGCAATCGCAAATGGTATCCTAAGGCTGGCGTCCTCGCGAGTTCCACCCTTTCCGCCACCAGCTACTCGAGATCCACCTGAGCCTGAGAAAAGCAAATAAGGCCGGATGCTGGCCACTCCTGATGAGGTTGTGGAAAAAAGTGGCGTGGGCAATACGTTGGCTCGTTTGTTGCGCGTCCCCAACAGACGACTGCTTGTTCTGGCGGCAGCTGTAGCAGCTGTAAATTCAGCTGACTCGCTTTCCCAACCGCCTGCCTCTCGAGAATTGCTACTACCACCGACGCCGTCAGTGTTGGCAGTCCCGAGTCCGGGAAGGCTGGAACGGGACAGTGGAGACGTATCCGAGCTGGCTAGCATTACAACCCCGTATCGTTGGGCAGCAGGCGTTCTTCCCAGAAAGCCAACTTCCGGGAGCCGGCCCATTACCACGAGGCGGGCATAGTTGTGCTCGGAGCAAAGAATCTAATAAATGAGTCACAAGAAGGACAAGCGGGCTATAAAGCAAATGCTATGAAAAGTTTTGCATGCATGAATGCAGACAGCTTTTAATATACATACTAAGCCGTGGAATAGAGTGAAGTGGTAGGATCACCACGACACTCACGATCCGGTATAGAATCCTGTTGAGAGTACAGATGAGACCATGGAGAGGTTAAAACTGTAATCTACCCCCAATAAAACGGCCTTTTGGGAGGCATGGCTAAGTGTGGGAAAACTCGACTATCAGTCCTTAAATAACCGCTGACGACCTAGGCCGAATAAGCTCTTATTCAAAAATTGCTGATAGCCTCAAACGCTACTTATAAAGAAAAAATAAGATTTATCAATCCGTCCATCCTTGTCCTAGAACATGAAATTTGGCAAGGCATGTTTTCACGTTGTGGCAATGGCTGTCAGCTAAGCGTAAATTCAGCAGATTCCCCTTGCGTAAATTCACAGTCACAATTTAAAGACAAGCATCCGGTTTATGGTAAGGCCATTTTCTTCCCCTCGCTATTCCAAACAAAGCATAGGTATGATAGAAGTGGGTTGATCACGTTTTAGCAATTTGGACTCGTTGTCAGGGCGACTTAGTTGGACAAATCTTGTCTAAAATTCAAAAGTTAATCGACAGGTTATCAAGCACAACGAAGCGCTCGTATCAATTTTCTCAAAGGACCAAAAACATGGCAATGGAAGAAACAGAATTGTGGATCAGTTTTAAAATACAATCTATGCATACAAACATTTTGGAAGAGACGCTAACGGCTATGCAGGATATCTTGGAAGGAAAAGAGGATATTCTGAAAACAGAGGGGGGGGCAGGGTGAGTCATTAAAACGATTAATAAATTTGACGATAAGGACTACACACTTCACATTCAATTGTAACATTTATGAAGAAATGTTTCGACGTCTTATGGAATCGTCGCTGTCACGGTTTCCGACAAATGTGATCATAAAGAAATTAGAAGAGCAGTTCAAAACAGCTGCAGCCAAGAGTGATCATGCTAAACTTCGATGGAAGGGAAAAAATAGATGGTTCCCTGAGGTTTATAAATCAGATTGATGGAAGAATCAAATTCACAATAGAAGTAGAGGAAAAGGAGCGGTTACCTTTCCTGGATGTTAAAGTTATTCATTTAAATGAGAAAGAAGTCACATCACAACTACAGACTAAAGATTGGAATACTGAGGAGCATGATCATTAGATGCGCAGGGTTAACGAAGATGGAATTCTTGAATGAAGAATAGGACAAATTAATTCGGATATTTCTCGGTAACGAATACTCGAGAAAGGTAATACAAAGAAACATAGGGGCCATGAAATGCAGTTTGCAAAACGGCGATTATAGAAGAAAAATAAGAAAGGACTCACAAAAGTGAATATGTACACCCTTCTGTGAAATAGCCAAAAAACTACGGCCAATGTTGTGAAAATTGAATATTCAGATGATATGGTAGACAAATAGGATTGCTCGGGAGTTTACTTCCTAGCATGCGGAGCCTGCAAGCAGATATATGTTGGCTAAAAATTGGCATACAAATCAGGGAACATCCAGGCTCTGTAGATAAATGGATGGTGAAATATCAGAAAAAAGGCAAAGGTATTGTGAGGAATGAAAGGCCACAGAAAGAAGTGTCCCATATAGTAAAAACAGAAGGAAACGAACGAATAAGGAGGCCGTTGACATCCTTGTGAAAAGAAATGTAGTGAGCAAGAGATTGGAAGGGGGCAGAATTAGCGATAAGTTCGCTTATTGCATAAGCAGATCCAGAGGAAATAAGGACCAACAAAAAGATGTTTGTATCAAGGAGCTATAGTTAACCTGAGGAAAAGGGATCGCAAAGAAGTAGCGGATAAGGAGTATTTGGAAATCAAGTAAAAACGTTGTCGATGAGTGTAGTCTGATCGAAAAAACAAGACTTAAAAATAAAGTGTTTGGGGCTTGCACTTGTTTATTGACAATAAATATCTCCTTGATGATTTGACTTAGTGTCTACTAAATTGTTATGAAATTGATTTCGTATCCACAGTGCCTGAAACGGGAGTTACAAGTACCTAGAAAATTAAGCAATAGCATAATCCGAGTATAAAGGGTTTTAAATGTTTCAATAGGAAAGTTAGTAAAAATCCAACTTCTAAAGAATAATGAATATAAGGCACGCGAAGCAACGAGATAAAAATATATAAAGGATAGTAGCAGTAGCAAGGTATCTTTTTAAATGGAGCAACGGCCGAGAAGAAATGGCAATCAAATGAGGAGTAATGCAGTTGGGAAGAAAATAGCAACTAAGTGCAATCAAAAAGGTGAAATGATAAGCATAGTTAATTGGAATCTATGTTTTATACAAAATATAAATTCTATCGGGCCATCAAATCAGTATAGTAGAAATATCCCCGACACGATAGTATTGTATAGCGAGAATATCCCTGTTCATCGGTTAACTGAGAGGTCCCAATTATCAGCCACCAAAAAAAGAAAACTTACCGACTAATTGATTATCATTTTAATGAATCATTAAAGAAGTTCATAAACGAATAATGCAAGTAATCTCAGGGATATCTAACTGGCCACGCAAGACCAGATTAATGATCCGAAATACTCAATGAAGGCATTTGGTTGGCGAGAAATGTGGGACAGACCTAAAGCAGCTTCTAAAAAGCTTCTTTTTAATATTGAAAGCACGATCGGAACCCAGAGAGAGAAGAAAGAAGATGTTTTTGAGGAAAGGTATCAGAAATATTTTTTTTAATAGTCCGACCTAATCGGAAGTCCCAAGTTTATCCTCTAGTTTATGGATGAGTCACGAAAGCACGTAAAATATGAATCCAGCAAAAGATTACTTATACTAATGACATTGTGGGGTCTACTCAAATCATTGTTGGAAAAGCTACAATATTAGTTATTAAATCACTTTAAGCAATTAAACATAAGTTGGTAATCAAGAATAAGTGATAGTTTCTAAATATACATTAAGCGTTGCAATAACGGTGAGATAATAGTATCAGAAACAGGGATATATATATGTATCGCTTTAAAAATATAGAAGAAAAAAAGTGACCATGTAAAAATGGAAAAGGCTGATCACAAGGCATCCACAATAAGGCTAAAGTCTAGCGGATCTAGTAAGGAACTTTACGACTATAATACAGTGCAAATTACCACATATTCTAAAGGTTGAACATATGGTAATTCACATCTCAAGGTCGAGATTTCCCTCAAATTCCTCATTCACTGTCCGACTAGCCAAATTTCACCATAAAAACAGATAGACTTTTCCATTTATCTCAAAAATACAAATGTTCAATATAAAAAGAGTTCCAAACCTGAAATGAACAGGCAAGTTCACGACAGTCTTCTCTACGCCAGTCATTTGAGACATATATATTCAAGTAATAACGACCTGGTTGCGAGGGTGCAGCCTGAATTCGTACCATATCGATTGGCCGAATAAGGACTTCTACGAGGCAGAGACCACGAAGTACGCTGTTATCCGCGCAGTTCTCAAGACTACAAGAGATACCCACAAATCTGGGCATCTTAAGCTTGATAGTGACCTAAAAGTGAAATGAGAGACATACACCGAAAATAGAAAAAGGTAAGCGAAAAAATAGTCAGAATAAATAATAATAATAATAATAACATAAGAGTAGACTAGCCTCGTTTTTGCAACTTGGTCGTATTTTCATGAGGGCCTAAATGAACGAACCATGCCCATAGTCACCTGTCGTAGTATCCCTGATAATTTTCAGCATCAGACCGTAGTACATTCCTAGACGTTTCACCGACATCGTAATTAGCATCGTCAGTGAGCTTTGCCATTCTTAGCACCACAAAACAACTCGTGAAGTCGATCTTTTGACCAATAGTCTGCTAAATAGTTGTGGTGTCTTACATTCTGTCCTAGGATATTCACCTACCCTATATCCTCGTAACACCTTTACTATCACAATTTCTTACTTTCTTATATAAAATAAGTTGAGGTGTGCCCTTTGAGCGGATTAAGTGAGACCTATTCACAATTCCGATTGGTTCCCTTATCCCATCCTTTTGTCGGGGATGTTAATTCAAGTCTTTCCTTTTATTATGAAGTCCACTTTACGCAGATTCTATCAGTCGTTTTCTTGCCCATATGATCCATATATAAGCTCTCAGATTCAGTAATTTCATTCGATCGCTATCACCATACTCGAGCTAATCCAAAACAATAGGATTTCGGAATAAAAAGGAAAAACTCGAATAAATATTTCAAGAACAGTGGTGAGATAAGAGAACCAGCATGAAGTGTAAATAGATCTGACTAAATCTGCTCACTTGGATTAGATTTAAATAAGTAAGTAAGAAGTTGTGATACGATGATATAGGCTAGGTGAATGTACCAGGACAGAAGAGATACCAGAACTGTAGAGCAGAAAATCGGTCAAAGAATCGACTTATATGACATGTATTCATCCTATTTCTTCTAAGGTGATAAAGGACTGGTAGTTGAATTTTGCCCCAATCATATGAGTAGAGCCAAAGTTTCCATTGAATTTCACAAGGCCCTACTTTCCCAAGGAATAAGAAATTTAATGGAAGCGTCAGCTCTACTCATATCATTGAGAAAAAATCAACTACCAGTCATTCATCACCTTAAACGAAATTGGGTGAATGCATCTCATAAAACTGATTTACTGGTAATCTCGAAACCTTACTTATAAACGAAAAATGATCGAGTTCTCCTGTTTCTTTGACTTGTTGAATTGTGTTGTTAAGACTGGA